ACAGGGTCATCTACCCACATCTAATAAACAAAAGTTTCTACTCTTAGCTTTTCTTTTTTTTCAAGCAAAGATTAGATTAGATTTTGGCACGCACAGAAAGCTGCGTAAGCACCAGTTGCTCGACATAACCTGCGTGGCCCATGCAACAAAATGACTCCATGGGATTGGCAAAGCCAATTACAATTACAGCAAATTATACAAAAAATCTAGAAATATTTAAGCTTACATCTCGTCTAACGTTTAAAGCGACATATTAACGCCTGCAACCATTATGTTTTACACAAACCTCGCAAACTTTTAAACAGGTTCTCTTGTGATACCTGCGAAAGTGTTCGGTATAATTTCCAGTAAGATTTTTGCGGGCAATCTGATTGATTTCTCTTACATTGTGTGCTGAGAATGAAACTTTTCACCTTGAGCAAAGCTTCATTGCGCGGCCCAAACAAACATGGCGAGCAACAGAGCTTCTTGTATAATTATGTCCCTGTTAAAACACATGAAAGGACTCTAAAGCACACTTCAATCTGATTGGACAGAAAATCACAAAGATTTTCTGCAGGCACCAATCAGATGCCAGAACGGCTGCGACCATTTAGAACTATAATCTTGTAAGACAATGTCCCCAGGGGCTCTTCCGCCCTAACTTGAAATTGACTCACAGCCCCTGGGTCTCTGAGGATGAGTCAAAACATGATCCATCAGAAGACAGTTGAACTAAAAATTTCAACTTGAAATCATGTGTAACTTTTGTAGTGTGGAATTAAGACAACTATCAATTAAAAAAAATGTCTTTTACTTAAAATTTATTTATTCTATCTATTGGCGGCAGTAGAAAACAAAGGATTGAAGAAGTTATAATTTGAAATATAACTCCATCAGAAGAAAGTTGAACTAAAATTTTAACTCAGAATTTAATCTTAACTTTTGCAGCGTGGAATTAGGACAACTATCGATTAAAAAAAATATGTCTTTGCAAAACCAAGGAGAGGTGACTGACAGACCATGCTTGTGATTTTAATGACCACTCAATCAAGAATCAAACTTGGAGGATTAATAGCTTTATAAACAGGTTAGAAAAGCTAAAAATATTAATTTGTGAAATTGACTTGAATTTTACGTAAATTATGAAAGAATTTTGGTTATTATTAAGGATACATGAAAAGCCAATTTTTGAGTGACTAAGTTTACAAAGGGCTATTAAGGTGGGTGCCCTACAGGTGGACATAACAGTCAGTAGATTCAGTCAATTAACTGAGATTGAGAACAAGGAAAGTAGGTAATTGACATTTGCAAATTAAAACCAAAGTTTGTTCAACACATTTCAGGTTGAGAAAATCTCAAGAATACTTTATAAAACAAGGTAGGAAGCCTGGTGGTGGTTTAACATGAGAGATAAAGTGGAACATCAGTTGAGTACAAAAAATAAAATTTTTTGTTGCTTCTTTTAAACAATCGCCACGATGTAAATTACAGCACACACAAAAAAATAGTTTCAGGGACTTTAAGAGAGAAAATAATGTATGTCTTCTCCCAAACAACCCGAAAATTAATTTTGAGATTGGACACTAAATTAAGATCTTGAGAACTATTCCAGCAAACATAACTAGCCTTAAATTCTGGTCACTTTAAGTCATCTTTCAAGGCACTCAGCAATTTCAAAGGTTGTTCAATCAAACAATAAGAAAATTTAAAATAAAAACAGATGTAAAGATGAACACAAATGATTGAATATATGAAGTACTACAAATACAAACCTCGCCAAATACATAAAGGGCAGAGTTCCCTTTTAAATGTTTTTTAATCATTGCACCATTCCAAAGTCCACGATGCTGACTTTCCGCATGAAAATCCAGCATTGTTCTGTTATCTTTGGCTGATGCACAGGACAATCTAAAAATTTGCAAAGACAAAAAAGACCGGGTTGATCGACTAGCTGACACAAATTCGATCTTGCCGCTTGGAATGTTTTGACTTAATTAACTATACACGCGCCGACGAGTCTTGAACAAACTTGAACTACAGGTATCCTCTAGACTGCATGTTATGTATCCCTTCCCTTTTTCGAGTTTTTTTTTTTTAATAATCCAATAATCCATCAGCTATGGAAGCTCAGACAACTGCTACATGCACTAAGGAGCTTAGAGACCTCAACTCGCAGGAGAGCGTGTTGTTTATATTTGTGGTAAACTATATCAACCTAGTTACTCTAGACTGAGTTATACTCAATAACATCTTGGGAATTTCATGCTGTTCGTCGATAACGTTCCTCACATTCAATGTGTAAATAACATAGGATTCTCCCATGAGCTTGAAACGCTTTTCATTGATACGACCCATCACCAACTATCTTGAACGTACAAGAAAGTGAGCACAATATCATTACCTTGCACAAGGGCGCAAAATTGGAAAATCATGCAGGAGCCGTTCTTTGACTTGCATTTCTGTCATCTCTGTGGTAAATTCTATATTAGATTTGTATTGTCCCTTGTCGTGTTTATGGATCCAGGCCATCTCCATCGTATTTGGCATCAAGACCTGATCGTTTACGCAACGAACGTCGCTCTCCAGCAGGACAACTACATTTTTTTTGTATGGGTCTGTTGTTTTGAGCCTTTTGGGAGTTGGAAGCTCTCCTCTTCCTAAGGCATCCCTTTCTTCTTGCTCCATCCTTAGCACTCTGTTATAGGAGAGAAAAGTTCAAAGTTTTTCACAGTAGAAAGGACAGAAGTATCATGGTCAAGTTTCGACTAAGAAGCTTCCAATCCTAAAAACATTAGCCTGGAGGTTTGCCCTCCCTATATTTATGCCTCACACTACACCCCTTTCCACCGTTAAGCTCCAGGCAGTCCCAAAACTATCAGAAGACTTTGTAATCTACATAAACATAGTTTTATCTTAAATTAATTCCCGCTCCAGAGTTCTTTCCCACACTTACAGCTTATATCCAAAGCTGAATACTTTTCCAAGACCAACGTCTCACTTACGGCGTAATCAAACGATGCAAATTCGATGTCACTCAAATTGTTAGACCGATAAAAAGTTCCATCGTCATTTGATGAATTGTTGGACAAAATCACTGTCGTAGCTATATGCACAAACACAAGTACAACTAACTCAAGAGCGGAAATTTTTGGATATACGTTGCGCGCGCACCGAATAAGTCGTACGACTCCAGTGACCTGTAAATACATCCACGTGGTCGCTAACAGAGCCTAAAATGTTTATTTCTCGAAACAGAAAAAAAATGGTATTTATTTGACAGTCGTGAGGTACTATAGACACATTTTTACAAAACTGGAAATACTATGGGGTTAGAAAAATCGTTTGGTAATATGTGTTTGTGTATACCCCAAGAAACGGAAATGCGACCGATGGTGACCTTTCGTACAGCCAGGTGTTCTCTCATAAGCATAAATTAGGAAACGAATCAGGAACGAGGATCGAGGAATGGTAGGGGAGGGATCGGGCNGCTTCATTTTGGTGTAGAGATTTTTCAGAAACTACTCATTATTTTCAAAGCACATGCTCGGAAAGGTAGGTGGGTAGTGAAACACGATCTTCGTGCAGATTTTCCAGTCAAAGTGACACGGTTTTTTGGCTATTTCTCCAATCTCCTCCACTCAATTGCGCTCATTCTGGTATCGTCTGCAAGATATTTTCAACCCGTTCAAGTACATGCTCGAATTCGTGCTCCAGAGTTAAAATTGATGACGTCACAGGGCGTAGAAAGGGTGTGGGTCCCCATGGGCGCATACGGGCGCACTGGACGTTAATGGGTTAAGCTGAAAGTTGAAGTGAGCTGGTCCATAGATTAAGCAGTGTGGTACTTAGACTGCTCTGTTGAATTTTCTGAGAATATAAATTCTTAGTGCGGACTCAAATAAAACAGAAAAGACAAACTCATTGAGTCACCTTCATTGTTGACTGCGTGCACTCCTATTTCCTTTGTTGCACGCATACATTACAAAGGAAATAGGAGATGTCTGCATGCAGACAACCTTCATTGATGAAATGTGATTTTCTTGTTCTGACATGCACAAATGTAGGAAAAGTTCATATAAATGTACAATCCCTTTTAAGTCATCCTGCATACCTGTTTGCATCCTTAGTTTGAGTTCAAACAAGACAAGCCGTAATGGTCATACATATATAATAATAAAAAGACTGAAAGACTGATCGATTCAGACCAAGTAGAAAAATATTTGGCTCTATAGGTCATCATGCTTGTACCTCACTGTCTTCCATTCTGGATTCATAACCTCAAGCCATATAATTTCCCAAGCAACCCTCTCATTCAGTCAAAAGACATAGTGTAGGAACCACTAGACTCACCTCCTGACTGCTCAGCAGGGTCACTAGCTACAGCCAAACCAAGGGCATTGCTCCTGATTGAATCCCTTCCAGAGTCTGACTACATAATTGAGAAGGAATGAAATTCCTCATGAATACAGAAAAAACATTTCAGTCTGCACATCAATACCTCAGTGGCAGATCTAGGGGAAAGGCCCAGGGTTCCCCTTTATTTTGGAAAATAAAATAAAATGCAGGAGGAAGAAAAGCCACCACATGTACACACACAAAAAAAACCAGGCCCCTCTTTTGCTCAAGCTCTGGATCTGCCACTGTAACTAGTAAAAAATTTGTAGAAAAAGGTAGGTTACTGTTTGCATCCATAATTATGTTTACTCAAAAACAATCAGGGGGCTGCTTTCTGCTGGACAGAATAAGTTAAAAGCAAATTACTCTTCAGTCCAGCTAGGACTGCAGCTGACTCAGGCTGCTTAAAACATACACATTCTTTTAAGAGGACTGCATGTTTATATGCAGATGAGCTCTCAAGCTAATTAAGGAATGGCCGCTAAACTATAGCAGAGGGAAGCTTATACCCAGAAAAAATTACTTGTCTTGAGTTAGCTAGGTTATATTACTACTAAAGAAGGTTGGGTTTGAGGGGCTCATAAAAGAGATTTCACGATATCCAAATTGCTCCCAAGCTACTGTCTGCATGGAAATTAAAGGTGTTTGAGAAAAGAGAGTGGAACCATGGACGACCCATCCGAAAACATAGATATATGGCCAAAAACAAAATTACCATATGTGAGGTGGGTTGCTGATCTGCAGTCAAAGCTATTTGTTGTAAAGGATCATTCTGTAATATCCCTAAATGGACAATAAATAAAAAAACGTACAGACTGCTCTAGTGAAGTTAGCACTTCTGGTTTAGGAAAGGGTAAAACACATTCTCAGGTTTAAATAAGTCATCCCTAATTTGCACACACAATGCTACCATGACATCAAGTTAACATAAAAAAATTTTATCTTTCAGTCTGAGGAGAGTTTTCAATTGAATTATGTCATTTAGTTTTACCATATTACTAATCTTGTGCTCCAAGACAAACCAAAATTTGAAAATGAGGATATACATTTTATTTTATCTATTATCTTATTTTAACAATTTAATGGCAACTTAGTAAACAAAAGAAAGAAAAAGAAATGCCAAAGGGATGGTCTGTAAAAGAGTCAAAGACCCCATCAGCTTATAGACAGACCACCCAGCTAATGAAACGATATACATAATTGATATACAAAGACAAAGAAGATATAAAAGTAAAATTTACAATTTACAATTAAATGGCCTATTTAAAATATATATATAAATTATACCAAATTTGTATCTTATCCATTTGTCTTTTAAAACAATTAGTCAATTTCATAAATACATATATTAAGTATAATTGATGTGATTTACCTGGTTCTGTAAGACTTGCCCCTGAGGTTTGGGCATTTTGGGAAATTTGATCTCCCACTGTGTTGTTACCTAAGCATGTCGACGTTATCTGTCCTTGCCCAATTTGGCTTTGACTTGACACTAGCACTACAGGAGATGTGATTATTGTTAGTTATAGCTCCTTGCGTTTCAGGTACTCTGCCAAACACAGACCTTAAAAATTGATTAAGATCTCATTACAACAGATCTGAAAGCAAACTCTTGTCACTATTGATTGCATGCAATTATTTCTTTGCTGGTAAAATATCATTTATCATATTCCTGAGAAGTTGATATCATATCTTTCCATTATAGAAACAATAACTTTTTAAATAACTTACAATACCTTAAGGGTATAAAAGAAGACCTTCAAAGATGTCCTTTGCAAAATAAATTTTTTAAGTGCTCATGCATGCATAACCACCAGAAACTATAATTATGTCAATGGAAAGATTATGAAATGCACTATCAAGCAAACTTATTATGTTTTAGCTCAGTAAAATTGTAAACCAAGTGGGGCATGACAATTCAAAATGGACATTGCTGGACTGAACAAATAAACTGCATAATATCTGACTGCAAAAAAAATAAAACATTATGCATCATTTCATTTCTGAGAGGTTGATCGTCAAAACCAGGTGGGGATTTTTTGATATTTTTACTGACAGGTTGTCCTTTGAAATTTAACTGTCAAGCTTTCTCACAAAATTTAATTGATATGCACTACATTGGAGACTGCATTGATGGGGATCCATTTTGAAAAAGGGAATTCTCCCTAATGTTATTTAGGTTGGCATCCTGGGAGTCTTCTGATAACCTTAGTTTCTCGGTTATAATGCACACGGCTTTTGCAAGAAAATTCTGTCTTTAGGTGGAAAGCCAAATCTTAAGATCACAATTTTAGCAGAACTTACAGTTGAAAAGATCTTAAGATTTGGTTGCACAAAAATACTTAGCTATAAGATGCACTCCAATTTAAGCACTAACTTTCCACCCAAAGACAGAATTTTCTTGAAAAAGACCTACGCCTTATAAGCGAGAAACTACAGTAAATTTTGAGTCAATCTGTCTAATAATTTATTGCTTCCAAAGTTTTTCTAACAATTTATACCTTTGGGTGAGTGACCACAATATCAATAATTAGTTTTGTCAAAACCCTGAAAAACTTGAAATGTTGACTGCCAATAGAGCCACAGAGGTCTCCTGCAGAGTCTCAAGAGACTGATCTTTGCAAAAACACACTAAGTGGGTTACTTAAGTTACCCATGACAGACCTTTCGTTCGGTTCTGCTGAACCTCAAATATTGATTTCAACTCTTTTCTTTCCACTTAAAAGTGGCTGAGGCATATTGCAACAAACCTTAATAATTGCTGATCGAGTGCAAGCAATTATGGAGTTTTCTCCTTTTTATCTTTCTCCTTTCACATTCTAGTTTTATACTCAGAGAGATACTAAAGATCTTCACATGCAAACCAAATCAAGAGATGTTTACGCAATTGATTGAAATTTGACGGCTAGTACAGGGAGGCTTTGGGATTTTTGGTTTTGCGGTATTGACTGTTTTTTGGATCGGTTTTTTGGTTTTTGGTCCAAAAAGGTTCGGTTTTTCGGTTTTGATTATCAGAGCGGTTTGTGGATTTTATGTGTTTTTGCATTCGGTTTTCGGTTTTCACGAAAACTCTGATGTGGTTTTCAGTTTTTCCTTTTTGACCCCTTTAAAGGCAAAAATGTAGTGGTTTTGTCAGGTTTGCATGTGGTTTTCAGTTTTGCTGCCTTCTTTCATCGGTTTTTCAGTTTTGGAGGTTTTTTTCTCCGGTTTTGCGGTTTCCCAGAGGCCCCTGAATGCCCCCCTTCTAGTATGAGGACGTTTTGCCACAAGAAACTCTTCAGAATTGAATTCACTTGAGATGACATGTTAGAATTGGTTATAAGTACACTTTAGAAGGCCTCAGTTCAAAAATATGTTTTTTTTT